TTGGGTCTGATGGACAGTTCTAGGTTCAAGAGCACAGGGCCTAGCTTCCAAACATGCACCAATTCTAACTTACTTTTTGTGGCCTAAAAGGTAGGGGAGGTGAGCATACTAAGTGCTCAAGGTAGCAACCATGCATGAGCTAAAATGTGCATATTGAATAACAATCTGGTTAGCTTTACCAAAACATTGGGGGGTAAGTCTGTATACAAGGAGTACAGGCCAGCTCAAGTACATACAGCACACATTTTTAGACAAAATGGGTTGTTTATTGAGCACCAATCATGTGCTGAACAATTTTACCTATATAAAAGTAAAAAGCTCTATGAGTTGGATATTATCCCCATTTAACAGGTAAAAAGAACTGAGGCTCAGACAGACTAAACAGCACACCCAAGGTCACAGAGTCAGTAACCGGCTGAGCAGTAATTGCAAAACCAGTGTGATCCCCAGATTCCCACTCCTTCAGCTGATTGCCTAGCAGAGGTGGGCCCAGAAATCTTTAGTTTTTAAAAGCTCCCTTGGTGATTCTTGAGGATTAGCCAGGTCTTGGGAAATGCTGCTCCACATCAAACCGTCCCTCTATCCCTGTCACCAGCCTGCCTCTGAGCAGCCTTCTCCACGTTGGATAAAACATTTAAAACATATTTAAATAGCAATTTTGAAAAACTATGCAACATATGGATTTTCCTTTTGATCTCAAAATGATGACAAACAGACACTTAAATACTTCATAAAAGAAATATTACCAGAAAAATTATAGAAATCTGGCTTTCAACTTTGTCTTGCTCTAATTTAAACAAAATGCAACTTTCCAGAGTCACTCTCTCTCCCCCCAAATAAATCCAAAACTCCGAGCTTTCTTTTCTTTTTCCCTCTTTGCCCGGCCTACACCTATTCCTTTCTAATCTGTTGGCCATCCTGAATAACAGCTTTGAAAGACAGACAGTAGGGATAACTTAAGTCGTATCCTCAAAACGCCTGAAAACAGAGAAAGCGTCTCCTCCGAATTCACACCCTGGACTTGAAAGACCAAAAAAAGGGAAGCTGTGTATAACGGCCAAATATTCTTAGACTAATTAACAAAAGAAAAGGGGTGGGCAGAGAGAAGCTGTCCATCCCTGAAAACCTCCCCGCCCCTCTTTTGGTCCCGGGAGAGCCCCCTCTCTCAAGTTGAGGGCGTCCACTGGCTGAGGGCGCCACGGCCTCCGCAGCAACAGGCGGAGGGGAGGCCGCGGGTCAGCGCGGGTCGGGTCGCGTCTGATGCTCCCCAGCTCCGCGCAGCGCCTGGAGCAGGTGGCTGCCCCCTGTGCTGGGCGTGCGCTGAGCCCAGGCCAGGCGAGCGGGCCTCCAGTCCCTGTTGTCGGCCTGGGAGAAGGCAGGGGCCCCGGGGTGCTGGGCGCGGGACGGACGACTGAGACCCCTAGGGCCGCAAGTGCATGGGCGGGGGGGGGCGCGGGTAGTGCCTTCGGCTCCCCGCGCGGCACCGCGGCCGCAGCATCGCGCGCTCGCTCTCTCTGCACCCAGAGGCCGCGACACCTATCGCGGGGCCGCGGCGAGAAAGGAAGGGCTGGCAGGAAGGAGGAGACCTGGAGGAAGCCGCGGACCAGGCATCCCTGCTCTGCCGAGGGCCGGGAGAGGAGACTCCCAGCCTTCCCGCCCACCCCGAAACTTTTCCAACACACGCAGGCGTATTCCTCACGGGTTTTGGCGGCCCCGAGTCGCCATCAGGGAGGAGGCTCGGCCAACAAACACGTCCCCCGGCACTGGTGCGGAGGTACACAGGCACACCGGGGGTGGGGGGACAGGGTCCCCGGGGAGGCGGGTGAGGGCGTGAAGGCAGCAGGAGGCCACGCAGCCGAAAGGGACGCCCCGCGTTCGAGAACCAGTGCTTAAAAACCTGCAAAAGCTCGGAAGTGTAGCAGTGCCCGAGGCTGTGCGTAACTTTGCCCACTGCGCCCCCGCGTGCAAAGGCGTCCCCGCGCACTCACACCCTCAACCCACCCCACTCCCCCTCGGCTCCTGCCGGAGCCGGCCGTGTATTCCAGCGCCGGCGAGAGATATGCTAATTTGAGCCAAAGAGGGAGGGGTGTAAATTGCGTAAATTCCACTACCTGGCGCCCCAGTTACCGAGGGAGAACGTCGCGTTCTCCCCGAAAGCGTCCCCTCCGCTTCCCTCTGCCTTTCGGTCTCCAGCTTCTTCCCTACGATGGACTAAAGAAGATGAAGCACAGCTAGATCGATGTGCACCCCCCCCCGCCCCCCGAGATCACCACCTCTCCAAATCCTAGCCCTCATTTCGGGGAGCCACAGCACCCCTCGCAAGGCAAGCGCGCGCGGCCTTGGCGGGCGCCTCGCGGGGCTCCGCGCGGCCGGGCGGAGTGGCTGGATTATGTAAGTAACAGCCCTCCGTGTGCTCGCCACCATCTGTTAATATCTGGATATTGGAAAGTTCGGTGCCTGAGGCAAAGCCAGGGCTGGCCGCGCGGAGCTCCCAGCCTTCTTTCTACTCCAGGACAAGGAACATACCTCCTTTTGATTGTTTTCTCTCGCTTCCATAAAATCAGGTAGTATAGTGTGCCCCTTCACTTTCTGACCGCCAGCCCCCTCTCCCCGCAGGCGTGTGGTTTGTGAGGAAAGAGTGATCTTCGAGGTCACTTTTTGGTCATGAATCCTTTCGATGAATTGATGGACCGATGACTATTCTAGGGTCCTTTAGGCGTTGTGATGGACCCTTATTCGGGTGGTGGGGGGCTTTATTATTTTTAAAAATTACTTTCTCTGCCAGCACCCTGACCCCAAATTCTTGTAAGGGTTATATTTCAACTTCTTTGGAGTGATGCGCTTTTGTTCACTTTGAAAGCTGTTGGTGAAACAAACATCACTCGGGAGGTTTCTAAGCAGTGGGGTTCCCAGGAGAGAAACTCTGCAGCTGCTATCGCCACTGATCTTGTGGTATGTCACTTTCCCCTCATTCAAACATTCAGAGCAAATCCAGGTTGAGCTTGGCGTCACGCTGGGCACAGGGGCAGAGGGAGAGTGAGAGAGAGAGAGAGAGAGAGAGAGAGAGAGAGAGAGAGAGAGAGAGACACGAATATGGAGGTCAGTTAATCTGACTCTAGACAGCCTCAAGCAGGCCGGCCTGCACCCTGGAGTTGGCTTCTCTTTCTTTCTCTTCCTCTCTTTAGGGTGGTGGCTGGTGGTATGTGTGTCCAGGCAAGATCTCCAGGATCCTTCTCCTAAATTCACGCCCACGTTTGTCTCGCAATTGGATCTGGTTGAAATTCCCAGAATTGGTTTGTTTAGGATCTGATGACGATAGTTTGCAAGGTTTTAAATTACTTATAGGCAATCTTCCCTTTTACTCCCACCTAACGGCTTTAAGAAAGAACAGGAGGGGGGAACTACATCGAAGAAATATCAAGGTGAAGTGTTTTTAACCCAGAAGCAGATGCACAAGTGATTACTTCAAATTTGACTAAGAACACACAGATCGCCCTTCAGATAAATAAGGAAACGCAGCCTGCACGGATGGGGTTTGTTGAGGATCGGTCAGAACTTGGGTTAACTTTTAAATTATTGGGGTTGTGCTGGCAGTGGGTTGGAGAAAGGATTGACCCCCTAGGCTTGGCCGCTGGTTTCAGAAATGGAGCCAATATCTAGGCGACTTGTCGTCTCCCGGCTGACTGATCGCTTCTCCCCTATCAGAAAAACAAACCCGGAGCCGCCGGAGATAAGGGGCTCAGGCCTCACGCCTTGCTCCAGTGCGGCGTGAGACCCGCGAGAGCGCCGCGGCGCTGGCCAGAGAGGTTGCCCAAGAGCCTGGCCTGTCCATCGTCCCGACAGTAGGGGACAGGACAGGGCTCTGCGTAAGCGGTTCGCGGAACCGGGCTGCGGACTGAGCTCGCTCGCCCAGCGTCGCGCGCGCTCCTATTCCAACCAGCAGTTCCTGCGCCCTAAAGCGGGCTGCGAACTGCCACCGCCGAGCGTGGCGAGCCGCGAGCCTCCGCCGCTGAGGCTGGGGGTGGGGGCGCTTTCTTGTTTGCCAAACGGGCTACCCCGACTTCGACTCGGGCCTGCCTTCCAGGGGGGAGTGATAAAGGACTTACTGGGGCTCACAGGGAACTTTTCCCGCCATCAGTTCCCGAGCGTAGTATGTACAAAACCTGCATCGAGCGCTAGGTGCAATTGACATAAACTTGTGGGCTGCAGTTCAAGCCATTCCTTCCAAAGTCTGAATCTTTTCTCTCTCTCAGCTTCCTTTCTTCCCCCTTCTCCCCCTCCTCCTTACCCGCCCTCCTCCCTTTCAAATGTCAAAACTAAGCAGATGGTTTTAAGGTGCAGAGGGCATACATCCTTTACTCCTACTAGTGTACGTCTGGGCTGGCTTTAACATAAGCACAAACTGGGATACTTCAAGAAAATAATAGGAGGAAAAAGAAGAAAGGAAGTAGCCTTGATCCGTTCACCGAACCCAAATCCCCCTGCTCCGTACACCCGCTTACCTCGAAAGGACCCAACCAATAGAAACAGTATTCCACCCTGCATCTAATGGGCACGTTGATAGATTGTTTCTGTCCCGAGCCTAAATGGTCACATCTCGATTAGAACATTTGATACAATAGCCGATCGCTGGAAGTGTGAGTGGCGTGTTTGCATGAGTCTATGTTGTTTCAGTAACGGAGTGGAGAGAGTGAAGTCTGGGGACGCTCAAGCCAAGTTTCTTTCTTTATCTCGGACACCTAACCTGGCCGACCTGATTTTTTTTTTTCTTTTCAAAGTTTGAATCTCGTGCCAAAAGTTTCCTACAGGGTATATAGACTTGGACATATTTTCAATCGCTATTCTTATTCCAAGAGAAGACTTCACAGTGTGATGAATTTGAGGCTGCAATGGTAAATGTCCTAGGAAAGGGGTGTGTGTGTGTGTGTGTGTGTGTGTGTGTGTGTGTGTGTGTGTGTGTGAGAGAGTGGTGGTAGTGGTGTTCAGCCCTAGTACTTGTAACACACCTCATAAACACCCTGTTGTCACGAGGCAACATGATTCAACCTTTGATCTGATTAAATTCGAGCGACACACCAATAATACTTGTCCCCATCCTACCTAAGAAAATGAGTGTCTAATCGACTTAGGTATGAAGATTTCTGCTTCGCAGTCCTTGCAAATCCTAGCTTTTATAGGATCTTTAAGTAATAAATGCGGTTGCCTTATTAAAAGCCGTTTACTGTGCCGGGAGACAGAGACGTTCTAAGCTTTGGCCGGAGGCGCCCTCCTTAGCATTTGTAACTTGCAAACCCCAAAGAGCTCTTCAAGAGCCACATTATCTAAAGACATCTTGGTGGTTATTTTTCATCCAAGAAATGTCAAACCAAAGTGAATGTTCTATGGCTTTACGTTGAAGCCCGGAATGTAAGCGTTTGAAATTTCTTACCTATTAAATCTTAAAGTTTGTTACCCAGGCGTCAAAACGGCGTAAATCCTGTATGAACCCTCTTCTCTTTGATTATTCTGGGGTGAGTGAGTGAGGGGTAATCGCGAGGTAATGTTTGTTAACATTTTCTTTAAGGCTGCTGTACCTACCATCCAAATAACGTAGTTAGAGGTAACCACGGGCAAAGATTCTTCTTCCTAATAATTTTGACGGGAGGTTGACTAGGACTTAGCCAATGCTGGTCTTGTAATACCCGATGCAACGGAGCCGGTGTGAAACCTCTGGCACCTATTATTTTAATCCCAAGCCTACCTGTATTTTCTTATCCACCGCCCCTTCACAAAGAAGCAAGGGAGACATACATGTATTCTTGACACTACCTATGATCATTTTAAAAGCGGAATAATTTGAGGATCCCCCACTCCCTCGCCCCTATCCCCACCCCACCCCTAAAATCGCCAACTTCTCCTCCAGGATACTTTTCCGTGCCTTTCTTCACCCAAGTCCGAGGAGCGCTCACTCGCTCGGCCACTGGGTGAACTCGATCAGCTGCATCTGGGAAATGAAGGGGGGGAAAAAACAGAGGACCTGCGTCCTGGAAGGGCGAGTGTGAGCCGAGCGCCGCTCGCGCCGTCGCCCGCTTTGCGCGGTGCCCGCAGATGGCTGGTTCTGGCCCCGAAGCGGCGATCCCGTGGCCCCGAG